ATTTTTATTCATTTCAAAATATTTTTGTTGCTCTACGACATATATTTTTAGGGAAGAGCGTTTTATTGTTCAAAATTTGGTATGCTTCAACGCGTGCCAGAGTAACCTTTAAACTGGCAAAAACGATCTTTCCGAGACATATTTTTTTTTTCGTTGTAAGCAATAATACAGTTATCGTCCATATGAGACTACATGTTCTCTTGGCCAATCCCCCAGAGTGGGTACGAGCCATGGATTAGAGGATACAAACAAATAAACAAATATGAAAAATAACCATTTTCGCGCGGTAACGACAAAGTTAAGGAGCTTCGCCCCCAAGACAACAATTTATTACAGACAAACTTGGGCCAGGAGTAAAGAAAGCTAAGAGAAGCATAATTTTTCACCTGCGATAAAAAAATGCGCCCCCTTCTATTTTGAGCGTTGCTAGTATTCTGTTTGTGTTAGACTCCGACAGAGTCCGCAGTAATGCGACTGCGTGCGGCGAATGGACGTGTCATTATGGCACATATTTTGTTTTACGCCTTTGTCTCGTTTCGTTAATGCGCCGCTGCACGTTGAGGGAGCACAAACTGGCATGCATGGCTTGAAAGTGGTAGCTGCCTTGATTCATTGTCCTTCGTACAAGAGTGCCTCAAACCGCGAAGATTTCGATCCTTCCTCTAAACAAAACTGTCAGATTAAACACTTCGCCCAACTGACACATTATCCTCAATGATACTTCTCTCAGAATTTATGCCCATTCTTTCCTTTTTATTATTGCTTTTCATGTTCATGCCACTTCATGACCATACATTTGAAGTACTCTCTTTTTATCTTAGCACTGTTTTTATAAACTTTTTGTATTACTTTTTTGTGATGTTATACCTGTATGTTTATTTCATACTTGTTGTACATGATTGACTACCATTCCTGCTGCTTTGTCAACTTGTGAACGGGGTCAGGACCTCGTCATGCTCTTGAGCTTTTAGTCCTGTACTCCACCTTATCTAAAGGAAATAAAATGATTGATTGATGATTGAGTGATTGATTGATTGATACCGATGCGCTTAAAGCAGTAAGATTGTTGTTTCGATCCTGGCGAAAGTGGTCTTGGCACTGAGAAGTTTTTCGTTAAAGTATTCCCAATCTTTTATATTACAGCTTCACTCTAACATGCATGTGCGGTTTCGGTTCGATGATGATTACGGTGGTTGCCACCTGAAACGTCAGTGGCCGCTTTCGGATCGCTGCACGCAACTAGTGAAGCAGAGCCCGAATACCGGAAGCAGTCGCACGCTCTCTCTACGCGATGGCGCATGCAACGTGATTTAACGGCTCCAGCTGCAATGGCGGGCGTCGTCGCGCGAACAGGAAGTCTCGACGCCGCCTCTGGGTTGCCGAAATGGCTCGGCGCTGCCACTCACTCGTGGAGCGGCTCGGCGCCATTCGCCCAAGTGTCGCGCTGCGAAGCGGGGCTTCCAGCGCGTGTCAGCGACACCCTCTCGCGAAGAAACGCAGGATGTCGACAGATAAAGAGCCGGCACAAGCGACCCGCGGAGCCAAGGCGGGGGGAAACAAGCGTTTCGAACCGTTTAAGAGCTCTGAATACAGTAGGGAGAACATCTTGCCGTTTAAAAACTATGGCCCCAGAAGACTTCCGGTTTTTCCGTTTGAACCAAGCAACTAATCTTATGATACCACTTAAACGACCGCCCCGCCGCGGTGGTCTAGGGGCTAAGGTACTCGGCTGCTGACCCACAGGTCGCGGGTTCAAATCCCGGCTGCGGCGGCTGCATTCCCGATGGAGGCGGAAATGTTGTAGGCCCGTGTGCTCAGATTTGGGTGCACGTTAAAGAACCCCTGGTGGTCAAAATTTACGGAGCCCTCCACTACGGCGTCTCTCATAATCATATGGTGGTTTTGGGGCGTTAAACCCCACAAATCAATCCACTTAAACGACCGAAGGTCGCTGTGGCACATGTACCCAGTAGTTATTGAAAACAAAAACAAATAGGTGATTTCATTCATGAGCTTGGGTTTCTAGATGGTCCTATGATGTATGTAGTATTATTGCTAAAAGAAGAATGCTACCTTGTGCGGGGTGCTCCCGGCCAGTTAGCTTCGCTAATAACGTCGCAATTGACCAGCACTTCCTATGGTCAAGGCGATGGTGGTATGCGGCTAGATGTAGCATTGCAATGAGAGGCTTGTCGGTATTTGCTCAGTGCTAGTTTTATTTTAGATTGCGAGGCAAAAATGTCGTCGTAAGACGATCTTGCGTCTGGAGAGAGTGAACAAAACGTTTATTTGATGTGCGCAAGAAAATCGGTGAATGATATTCTGGAGGCGCTGCGTAAATGCCTCAAGCGTGCTGCGGAGGCGAACGAGCGCATCAAGTCACGTCACACGTGAAACATGAGCGCTATCCGGCAGTTATCTTGGGAAACGAAGCGCGCACGCCCTGCGCACCCGTCTCGGAGGTGATAAGGTGTTCACGCACGGTGCAGTCCTCGCAAGGCGACGGGTAGGTGCCACCACCGTGTCGTCTCAGCAAAGCGTTGGAAACACTTGCCTTTTCGTGCAAGCGTTGCATGGTCAGCGCAACGTGATAAACGCTACGGTCCTTAGAATTACTTATGTATTCCTTTTTTAGAAATAGACACACATACAGAATATTAACGTGTTGTTATAGTGCCTCAGATATGCGCAATAATTGCTTTTTAATTGAAAATCGCACAAGTATGAACGCTGAATCTTGAGCAATATTGGTGGGCGCTGCGGATGGTGTCGGCCGTTTGGAGTATCGTTTGGTAACTTTTGTGCCGTTAAGGGTACTGTTAAGGGCGGACAGACAGACAGACAGACCGACCGACCGACAGACAGACAGACAGACAGACAGACAGACAGACAGACAGACAGACAGACAGACAGACAGACAGACAGACAGACACAGACAGACAGTCCAAAATTTTTGCGTCGAAGGTCCCCAAGAAAGACTATCGTCTTTAAAAGCTCGTGGCAAATGCAATAACACACCGTGCCGGAATGATATTGGGCGAGAGGAAATTGATTGGCCTGTGGGGTTTAACGTCCCAAAACCACCATATGATTTATGAGAGACGCCGTTGTGTGGAGGGCTCCGGAAATTTTGACCACCTGGGGTTCTTTAACGTGCACCCAAACCTGAGCTCATGGGCCTACAACATTTCCGCCTCCGTCGGAAATGCAGCCGCCGCAGCCGGGATTCAAACCCGCGACCTGCGGATCAGCAGCCGAGTAGAGGGAATACCTTGACGCCGACATGCGGAAGCCACTTACGCGTACTTTCCCGTTTGTTGTTGTTGTTGTTGTTGTTGTTGTTGTTGTTGTTGTTGTTGTTGTTGTTAACATTGTCGGACTTCTCTTTGATGAAATCAGTAAAGTGCGCTTTTAGATTTAGCTGCAAAAAACGCAAGCCATATTTACTTTCGCATCTCCGGAGTGTTTCTTATCACCTGGGCGTTTTCTTTCGTGCGGAGCGCGTGGAGAGATTGTCATAGTAATAATTAACTATATCAGGAGACGAAGACACACGGACAGCATTAAGATTTGTCTGTTTCGTTGGATTATACTGAAAGAAGAATAAACTGTGCGAGATGTTAAGGCGAAAAGAAGGAACGCATACGACAATAGAAGCGCAGTCCAAGCACCATGAATGTGTGTTTCTTCCATTCGTCTTAACTAATAGCGTTGTTTACCCTTATTTCAAGAAAGGACATCTTCCCTCGAAAATCGGGGAGTGCCTTAGTGAAAACTAGCTTCCTCTATCTGCTCCAGCTTCCCTGAGTCGGTAGCGCACGCTTTGGTTGCCTGCATGCGAGCACTTGCAAAGTTGACAGGCGGGCCTTTTCTGTTCACGCTATAATGAAAGCGCACTGTAACATACGTATGCGTCAGTCTCATACCGGTTAATTTCATTCAGTGCATTAAACTATGTTCCAAAGAGGAACCACCCTCTACGCATCTTCGCATTGCGTGTTGGCACGTATAGCTGTTAGAATCCTCGTCAGGCTGCTCCATGTGTCTATCCGCTGGATCAGCTCCTTCCCTCTACACGATGCATGGTCTTGGGCAAGTAAAAGGTTTTTACCACAGACTACAGAACTGTGAGCTGACTTCAATATTATGCACGTTGTGGAACGAAGATCCTCTTATAAGCATGTATATTGAATGTTGAAATGGATAATCTGTTTCTATCAGGGGACTCAAGCAGAGGGGCTAAAATTTTTCGAACAAAACAACGAAGTCGATCATTTTTTTCTGGCTTTTGGGGGCCTCCTTAAAAAAAAGGGCGCCCGGTTCATTTGAACCCTTTGAATCCTGGATATTCCGCCCCTGGGGGAGGGGGGGAGGGAAGTAACTGAACCTAAAGCAGTCACTACGAAAAGAAATGGGCGTGATGTACATGCCGTGACGTTGTCTTGAATGTTCCTGCGTGATAAGCTCAAAGAAAGCTGTGTGGGTTAGTTTGAAATGACTGAGAATTAACTAGAAGAGGAATTCTAGCCTCTCAGTCTTCGTTCTGATTTCCAAACGTTCGAGACACGCTTGCGGCACCCGCGTGCCCAGTGGTGGGCCTCACACCCAACACCATTCTGCAGGCTTCACACCGAATCGATCGAGGCTTTCTGCTACAAGAGGTGATTTGTGGATTAACCCCACCGTGGTGATCTAGTGAACATCATGCTCGACTGTCGAGCCGAAGGTCTAGGGATCGAATCCCAACCACATGGGCCGAATTTCGGTGTAGCCGAAATGCTGGAAGCCCGTGTACATCCGGTGCGCATTAGAAGAGAACACTAGATGATCAAAGTGTCCAGAGCCCTCCAATACGGCGTCGCTCATATTCATATCGTGGTCTTGGAACATAAAATCCGAATAATTATTAAAATAATTGCCTTGTGTTTACAAAGATGAACAACAGCCAACACAGAATATTTGGGCGGAGCTGGGCATGCGGCCGCCGGAGAGACACTCACTGGATACTCCCGCTGCGGCTGCGATGAAGGCGATGGGCAGCGAGGCAGCAGCCCGAGTCACGTGCACGCTGCGCACCAGGTGCAGGTAGAGCAGGCCGTACGAGCGGAACAGCGCCGAGGCGAAGAAGAACAGCCACCCACTGGCCAGCACCGTGGGCCAGCTGGTGGGGGCCGGGCCAGCTGGGACGTCGCCCGTGGCGGCGCGACTGTACGGCACCATGGCTGCCCCTGCAAAAGCGCACGGCTCAGTTCGCATACACCTTTCGAGGAAGAATGAAAACTTGAGGCAGAATACCCGTAACTTTAGAGGGTACGTACAAAAAAAAACGTGACAAAATTATTTAGTACTTTTCGTTACATTGTTCCACTTCGTAGCTTGCTGGAAATAAACAGAATCTAAAAACCTAACATAAGAAAACTAAAAAAAGAAAATAGATAACTAAAGACCACAGTTGTTATTCTAACAACAGTAATGTTTATGCACGCTATACCAGGATTGCGGAAGAACCGTGCGTATGCGTCAAGGCTTGCTTCCCCCCCTCCCCTTCTACAAGACTCGGAACTGTTTCCGACAAACGTGAAAACATTTCATTGTTTATGTGCAGCGTACAGTTTACTGTGAAACGCCGCTTTCCTTTAGCTTAATGCTGCGATTGCGATTCGTCCGCCTCGGATGTATTGTGGTTACGATGCCCGGCTTCCCAAACGACAGTCACGGGTTCGAATGAGGTGAAATGCCGGAGGCCCAGTAGACCGCGCTGTGGCAATGCACGTTATTGAAAACACCAGATGGTCAGAACTTCCGAAGACCTCCACAACGGCGTGCCTCATGATCACACCGTGCTTTTGGCGCGTAAAACCCCAAATATTGTTACCTAACCGAAACTCGCAAAGCCAGCCTACTTCTTTTTTTAGAGGCGAATCTCCTGAGGGCTCAGCCTTGTCGTCATCCGCGTCCGTCACGCGGAGATTTGTGGATGTGAGACACAGAGGTGAGACAGGCGAGAACGTTTCACAGTAGACCGACATTAACCATAATTGTGACGGAACAATACGAAATACTAGAAGCACAAACTCTTTATACTAGTCGGCAACTTCAACGTGCACATTACGGACTATAGGACCTCGCTTTGTCGTCGAATCCCACTGTCACAAGGACAATTTCTTTGAAATGGGCAGCACAAAAAAAATGAGGACACCTGAAGAAGTACACTGAAGAGTCATGGTGGTTAGAAAACCATCGATATAGTCGAGACATGTGTATACGTGAATGAACAAAAGAGCTTTACGATAGACGAACAATAAAATTGTGAAGAGACAATGTCAAACACCTACAAGTACAAATCTCTTATACTAACGAACACATTACGGACCTTAGGACGTAGCTTTGTCGTCGACGCTTTATTTCATTTAATTTATATTATACGGGGCAACGCTCGGGTAACATATGTCATACACAAAAAAAAGGTTTAGCAGCACACTGATAAGAATTGTAAATGTCGCAGAACGATACAAAACGCCTACAAGCACAAAAACTTTACAATAGTCGGCGACTTCAGAGATGACAATATGTACACTATAGGTGTTTGTCTCTTCTTGTAGTCGTCTCGTTTGCGCCTTATTCTTTCCGTGAAAAATGCGCCAACTAGCTTAACGAAACGTCTACTTGAATAAATTATGAACCTTACAGGACTAAGCGTCGCCTGCTCGTAATCATTCACTTCGTGAAGATGCGTGTTTTTTTTTACACGCATAGGAGGGTCGTTAATTACAGATAGTTCTGCAAACTATTTGCTAATTTATTAGTTGCTGTACTAATAGTAGTAGTACTTTTGGTAGTAGTTGCTACAACCAAAATACGATTTTATTGTTTTATGCGTAGTTAACTGCTAAAGATAACACGGGCCTGTACACGCCATACAGCGGTGCGCCATCTACCGTCGACCGCACTGATAGCCCGAAAATGGGTCGTCGTGCTATTCATCGGTATGCCAATTTACTACTACGCCGCGAATACTTAGTTCTGTTTTCACATAAAGCCCTTAAATGCAGTAATACCGTCACACTTCCACTTTGATAGAAGAATCACAGCCATAACGGTACGCAGCGAGTGGTGTGGCTTTCGGTATAGGTATTGGCTTGTGTGAAGCGTTATACCTATGTAATGATTGTGATTGGTATGTGGAGTTTAACGTCCCAAAACCACCATATGGTTATGAAAGACGTCGTAGTGGAGGGCCCCGAAAATTTCGACCACCAGGGGTTCTTCAGCTTGCACCCAAATCTGAACACACGGGCCAGTACAGCATTTCCGCCTCCATCGAAAATGCAGTTGACGCAGCCGGGATTCGATTCCGCGACCTGTGGGTCAGCAGTAGAGTACATTAGCCACTAGACCACCACGGAGGAGCTATGTAACGATGCCAAACTTCTACTGATATTCTGACTTCGAGATACAAGCACAAATCTATGATTGCCGAAAAGCGCGTCGCGGAGAAAGGTAAAAATGGAAAATATTTGCGCCAAGTAGGAGGACAGGCCATCGGTTAAGGAAGGGATGCATCTCGGACGTGGCGCTGCTGTCGAATAGTGCTGTCGATTACAGCAGAAATGTCGCAAACATACTCGCTGCAACACGTAAATGTGGTCAGGCGTTAAATGTGTACGAAGCTGTACATGACAAAAAATAAACGTGAACGAGTTAAGACTTCCCGCGATGTGCAAGGCATGCAGGGCCTATCTGCGCATTCAAGTGCCGTGAGTTCGGGGTCACCGATGCTCGCTTGAAGACGGTCATTCGCGTTTATCGCTGCTGCAAGATAAACTTTAAGTGCCGTGCCCGTACAGGATGCCATTGTTCCTGAATACGACCTACCAAGTGCAGTGGATGCGTGCGCTGCGGGACGTTGATACTTAAAGAGGAAATGCGTTGAGCTGCCGTAGGTCGCCCGAAAACGAGAACAATGGAAGAGTTAGCGGGCATGAAAGGGCCAAGACGAGCGGTGACGTGCGCGCACCACATCCGCGTTCATCCAAGCGGAGCGCAAAGCCATTCATTACGTCGAGGCCTTGAGGGTTCGCAGCCGTCTACGTGAGCATCGGTACCATGATATATCGGAGCTATAGTGTACTCAAACTTGCGAAAGGTTTAACTTGCCATAAAAAATTTTTGTAAAAGAATATCTATCAATGCATACTTGCTAGCTATCACGTAAAGAGAGAGTGAGAATTTATTAGAAGGCAGAGAGATCGGTCTCAGCTAGTTCGCTCTAGCCTGCTACTCTACACAGGGGATAAACGAAAGGGGAAGGAAAGAGGGATGAAGGGTGATGATGGGGACAAGAAGAGGTGGTGCGTATGTACAGTAGCCACTTGGCATAGTATCCTACAGTCTAGTATCTAGTCCAGTGCTTTTTATAAAGTCTAGAGCAGCTTTTGTAGCAGTTTTTGACACTGTTTGGTCGTTCATTGCTGACAACATGTGGCTTTCACTCAATGGCGTTCGTCCGATGCTTGCCAATGTTGAAGCTAGCATTGTTCTTTACGCCACAAATAATGGGCAGTCACAAAATATGAGCTAAAGTTTCACGCACTTGGCAGCGCTCACAATTCGGGCTGTCCGCACGGCCGATTAGGTGGGTGTAGCGGCGAGTGCAGGCGACGCCCAGGCGAATCCGGTGCAGTATATTAGCATGTCTTCGGCTGGTTTTAGCTGGAAGATGAAAAAATTCTCCTTGTCGTTCAATAGATGCATATTGTACGGCGTTTGCTATTTGACTTGACAAGTTTGATCTCCGCACGTCCGAAAATGCAGACATTGAGAAGTAAGTTACCACGATACACTGTTCCGTTGCCTAAGATTTGACGAGGTTCGGAGTAACAAAAACTGATAACTAGACGGCTTTCTTAGATCTTACAGGGAAATATTCCGCCATCACAATTCGTAACATCGCGGTTCAATCACTTTTCGAAGTCGTAAAAAATAGGTGCTTCTCCGGATGCGAGTTTTCGCTAGCGATGAGAACTCTACCTTTTCTCGAGCAGAATGGTTGATATATGTGCTCTCTATGTACAAAAAAAAAGATTCAAGGCAGGAACAACTAGACAGCGTTGACAATGCGGCTCTCTAACTACAAAAGCCAATGCCAATTGTGATGAGCGAAATGACTTTAAGTGAAACACGGCCGTGACGGAAGGCTTAGTTTTACGGAATTCTTTTTCGAGAATGACAGATATGAGCGGAGCTCTCTTGAACGCCTTTTTAGTAGCACAAGCCTCGTCTGCAGTGGAAAAAATAATCACGCGCACTGCCATCGTTATATTGCGAAATAAATGAGCAACGCGCGCAACTTCTTAGCCTCAACTGCACGTTAGATCTTTCAAAAGTATGATTAAAAGTGCTGGCGTAATTCTAGAGGTTCCATCGTCCAGAAGTTGCATTCGAATTTTATAAACAGAAGAGACCTAATCTTGTTTCGCCTTGTTTCGCAAACCTTGTTTCGCAATGTGAAAGTCTCAGTCAGCGCCACTAAGAAGGCCCTCGCCCTGTTCAGGTTTCTTAGATGATAAGCAGCAAGTACACGCATTCACTTCGAAGCGTTAAAGAACTGCCAGATATGGACCTTGAGATGTTTTTCTTTCTTTCTTTTTTTTTCCCCTATCGTAGAAGCGGAGCTGCGGCCCACGAACGAGGATCGTATTTCAGAAGTCGGATGCTCACGCACTCGTTAGCTCGTCTAAAATTAAAAAAAAAAACTTCTTCGCGTGAACTAGCTATACGCGACTTGCACTGAAGCGTATGCCTTTAAAAATAAATAAAAGAAAAAAAATCTAGCCAGATTCTACGAATTGTGGGATCGATTCCATACGAGAGAGTCAGCTATCAGACCCCTATGTCACGCTTTTTTTTCTTTCTTTTTTGCTTTGAGCAAAGTCTTACGAGTTGGATTGACGCCTTTGGGCACATTCAGTGGCTATTTGCATGTCGTGGGCACGTCAACTACATCATCATCATCATCATCATCATCAGCCTGACTACGTCCACTGCAGGACAAAGGCCTCTCCCATGTTCCGCCAGTTAACCCGGTCCTGTGCTTGCTGCTGCCAATTTATACCCGCAACGTCAACTACGTTGGCGGGTAAATCGCAGTCAATTGTCCGACATGTTGATATGTGATTTTAACGTCCCAAAACCACCATATGATTATGGGAGACGCCGTAGTGGAGGGCTCCGGAAATTTCGATCACCTGGGGTTCTTTAACGTGCACCCAAATCTGAGCACACGGGCCTACAACATTTTCGCTTCCATCGAGAATGGATGGTCCGGCATCGACCACTCATGTTACAGGACATGGATGTGCATATTGTGAAATGTTCATTACATCGTTTGAAAGGCGGACAGCCTACCGCTGCAACCACAAAATGACGTTAGAAAAGCACCACCACCGCAACTGCTGATGGGAGACCCATGCAAAGCGTGTTAGAAAGTGTTAGAACGTCGCATTTAGCTTATTTCAGGTTGGTATGTAGGTTGTGAATCGTGCGTGGCACACCACATGCCATGGTGTGCTGGTATGCGCTACACGTGAAAGGGAAAAGGGATTCGTACAGGGCTGTCACGTTGTCAAGGCGAAAGTGCCATATGACTAATGATAATGTGCAACGCAAGCGGGAACTGTCCACAGCACACGAACGCAAACTCCTATCTGTCTATCTGTCATCGAAAACCTCCATCCAGACGCTTGAAATATTTGCTGGACGTAAAACATTGCGGAGATGACTGTAGACGAAGCGAACATGCCAAGCGGTGACACACCGACACCGCACGTGAGCAAACGCTCGCACCTCTGTGCTTTCCATCGTGGTTTTACCAAGGCAGCTCAGACGTGCTAGTTGATTTTGAAGCAAAGGTACGATAAGGTTAATGAAAACTGGCAGATAATGAAGTCTAGAAGTGTATATGGGACGTTAATCGAATTATTAATTGATTGATATGTGGGGTTTAACGTCCCAAAACCACCATATCATTATGAGAGACGCCGTAGTGGAGGGCTCCGGAAATTTCGACCGCCTGTGGTTCTTTAACGTGCACCCAAATCTGAGCACACGGGCCTACGACATTTCCGCCTCCATCGGAAATGCAGCCGCCGCAGCCGGGATTCGAAATCGAATTATTAAAGTGTATTGTAGTAATGGTGGCATAGACCTACAGAGAATGTAAAGGGGGCGAAAATACAACTTGTCGCCGTCAGGGACAGAACCTGCAACTTTAGAACCAAAAATTTCCTTCTCTTCGTTATCTGCCGGTCACAGGCGACGTACTGGTGCTGCCCGGCCACACTTCGAAAGCTTTCTACACCTAACGTAGTTTTGCACTGCCTCCAAGATTGGAGGCATCTCTTGTGGCTTTGCATTGCCTCCGTGATTAGACCAACTCCGTGATTCGACCAAGCTAGAACGTGATGTGATGACGTCATCACGTGTCGTTACGTCACGTGGCACTAAAATGACGTGTTAAATTTCGGTGATCTGAGACGCGATCGCGACGTCATCCTTAACATTATTCTTTGCATCACTTATCCCCGACGCCGCGGCACGCCCACGGTCAAATTTCGCGTTTGATTATGCATCTAAGGCTTTCACTCTAGTGATGTTTGTCGATATACCATGCGAAGTTTTGTGGGTAGAGACGTCAGAACAAGGTTTGACTCAGGCATTCGCACATTAACGACTTCACGATTGAAGTGTGCACTCGGATGCAGAGAGACGTGTTCGCAAAATGCGAACGTGCACGCCTGTTTGTTGAGTTTGGGATGAGACGCAAGGTGTCACGGTCGCACATGATCCTTCAGCTGTCAAGAAAGGTACAACTACCGGTAGGCGTGAGCGGATAGCATACATGACGAGTTTGCTATCACCATAGTCGATTACGAGTTCTTCCAGGAGACGTTAGGTCAAAGTGTCTGGTCAGGACTCACTATAGCCCCGCCGCGGTGGTCTACTGACTAAGGTACTCGGCTGCTGACCCGCAGGTCGCGGGATCGAATCCCGGCTGCGGCGGCTGCATTTCCGATGGAGGCGGAAATGTTGTAGGCCCGTGTGCTCATATTTGGGTGCACGTTAAAGAACCCCAGGTGGTCGAAATTTCCGGAGCCCTCTACTACGGCGTCTCTCATAATCATATGGTGGGTTTGGGACGTTAAACCCTACAAATCAATCAATTAAATCAATCAAGAACTCGCTATATACCATGTCGCTTTTTTTTCTATGTTTTAATATAAAGAAGAACCAACGGTTGTACGAATCGGAATTGCCAAGATGCTATTTCGTCTACTTCATTCGGCGTAGTCATAAATCATTAGGCAACATATTATAAGGGAACACTGACTAATTCAACGTTAATAAATTGAGTAATTTTGTCGTATTTTAAATACATCATTCTCATAGTTCCTGGTTTTCACACTGCCGTTTTTAACTCCTTTGAGACTGTTTCAAAAAACTTAAATAGAAGAATAAATATTTTCACTTTCTTCATTTACATATATTTGCTTTGTCAGACTGAACGTGAAATCATGTTTGAAAACATGGCATCAAAGATAAGCATGATATATAATGTTAGCGGGCGTACGTATTTTGATTTTCAGTGGAGGTGGCTTTTGGCAAGCTCGAGCGCTTGTTTTGTGCTCATGCAGCGACCGCGGGTTCGTTTGTTATTGCGTCGGTGGTCAGGAGCCGGAATAGTACTTAGCTAGCAACCGTGACTTCCCCCCGAACGTATCTTGCAGCGATGGCACAGACGTGTCACCGGACGCACAGCGACTATGCGACTCGAAGAACTAAGGGAGTCAACAGCCATTGAACTGTCTTTCCGGTTACCGCGCGTCCTTCGTGAGACGCAACGACGCTTCGTCTTCGAAGCTTGACTGAGGGCGACGTGGCGTTTGCTGCAGGTTTAACGCGTCTTTTACCGCATTACGATAGTTATAGCGCGAGACCAAAACGACGACATAGGGCCAAGAAGGACACGAAAGACACGTGTCTGTGTCATCGTTTTGGTCTCGCGCTATAACTATCGTCATGCCATGCCAACTAGCCCAAGCTGCCACACTTCTTTTACCGCGCCAATCATTACTGTACTCGAGTGGCTACTGATCGAATCATGGCCGCGACGGTCGCGTTTCAGTGGACACGAAATGCTGTAGGGCCTTGCACTTAAGTTCAAATGCACGTTATTTGTATAAAGTTGGATGGTCAGAATATACGGAGTCCTCCACTATGGCATCGCTCATAATCACACCGTAGCCTCTAACTGCACGTAAAACCTCAACAGTAATTATTCTAATGTTTATTTGTGATTTTTTTTTTGCGAGCGCCAGCGCAAAATACCACGCAGTTGTTTCTGGGCCCAGTAAGTGAATTACGATTGATTGTCTAAGGGAGAGTGATCGCTAATGATTCAATTTCTGTTTCCTCTTTCCTTTCCTTCAGTGGATCGTGTGAATGCCCTACATGGCTATCATTCGGACGAGTCGGTGGGATGGATGATATGATGCGGTATCGGAGGAAAGGAACCCTTTCAAGACACCACCCGCACGCACTGCGGCCAGTGTCCTACGTTGCTATGGCCAGTGTCCTACGTTGTCCTACCTTGCATAAGCACTCGGCCGGGTTTTGCGCGCGACGCAAGCGGTCAACGAACCGACGTATACGGGCTGACAGCGGCGGCTTCTCTAGATGTTCGCGGATGTCCCAAACGCGGAACCGTGGCCGCCCATCATCGACAATGGGCCTTCCGCGGCCACCGTCCGGTCACGGTCGTGGGGAAGTCAGGAGGCCCCTTCTCTCTTTTTCAAAGTCTCTCATGCTTCACGCACGCTCTGTACCAGGAAGTTGCAGCTGCCCCTCCAATCGCTGCGTGCAAGACGTGCCCCCATTCGATACAAGAAAAAACAAACAAAACATGATCCGCTATACATAATCGCCATATACGCTGCAGTGTATGTCCAGCGTGAGGTAAGGGGAGGGAGGGATCTTGCAAAACTACCTCGCTTTTCACTGCTGTTGTATTTTCGCTCAAACGGGCGCAAGACTTGCGCACGCACATACGCTGCCGGTTCCTACGCGTCGTCGATTTATATTTGCGGTTGTGCAAGTGGTAGCGTTGCCTAGCATCTGCCCCGCATGCTAATGAGGACGGCGAGCGGCTTTCCTCTCCAACATGCCCTTTCAAAACCACGATTCTACTGCAGTCGAAGAACAAGGGTGGCGGCTAGTCTCGGACACGTTGTGCACAGTCGAACGAACGTTGAATAGTGAACGGGAATCCAAGCAGAACGCACCATTCGCCGGCTTTGATATGAGGATGAAAGATGAGCGACAAATCAGCCAGCGGCAGCGATAAAGCGCGGTAGACGCTTGCTCGTCAAAGGGCAAAGTACTCGTTATCTTCGTTACGCTGTTACACCGGAGGCTCGCGGTTAGGCTATTTATGCAACCTTTTTGGTTCGCACTTTCTGTTCCGAGAAGTCGCGGAAAAAAAGAGATGTCGATGTCGCCCGACGAGCGCCACTGTTAGATGAGCCTATATATGAGTGAACTGTCGCATGACGTGGTATGAGTTGTTTCCAACCTGTTTTTAGAGGATGAAGTCACACAGCCGTCACAGCGACGGCGGTACGTTAGCGAGCCCTTAACGGCAGGTGTGGCTAACGTTGCGCACGACTCCGTCTTCCCTCTTCAGCTCCGCTACGACTGCGCATCCCAAAAAACTAAAAGAGCGAGTGGAGAGACAGGAGATGGAACATGCAAAGCCCGCGCGAACTTCAATTAAACGTCTTAATTGAGACAAGAAATGCTGTCTTGATCAGAATAACAATGAGCTGCATTCGTAAATCGTGAGTCAGTCCGGTAGCGCGGAGTTAACCACTTGCACGTCGTTACACGCGCACGTCGGCTTCTTTCGCTGTTACGTACGCTTATCTCCAGCGTGCACGCTCGACACTGATTTTGGCGGTACGAACCTGCTAACCGGACGCTGTGCTGTCACACTTTCAGGTCATATTCACCAGGCAGCGACCACGGCAACGGCGGCGGACGTGTCTGGCGCAGCTGCAAGCCGCTGCCGCTCCGAGCGTAGCGCACTTGCCATGCGACGCCGCCCAGGCGGCTCCGTCACTCGGCACAACAAATCTGTTCGGTGACTCCCGCTGCTCGACGCAGGCCGCACGTTGGCCGTCCAAGAAGGCGTCTCTTTTCTTCCAGCACTGGTGCTTCAATCGGTTAATAAACCATCCATAGGGCGCACTCAACATTCGCGGCGAATGTGTCCGCGGAGGCCTGTTGCCGCGCTGCACGCGGGAACCCAACACCTGTTTAGTGTCTCTCTCTTTCTCTTTGCCTGCCCTTCTCACCATCGGCCTCGGTCGCGCTCTTCCCGCTCTGGTTTTCTCTCCCACGCTGGGCAAACTTCCGCCGGCGTGGCTGCTGCATTCGCCGGCTGGAGCAAGGCGCTCGTGACTCGACTGATAGACGCACGAGAGTTGTTGTGCGTGGCCTGTTTGCGGAGGCGGTTCTGGAGGCGGCCATGTTCTTTTCACGCCGCTGTCTACGACGTCTTCGCACGAAATTCATATGCAGATCATGGCACAAATTACGTATAGCAGTGTTGGCAGTCGGAGCAATGGGACAGAACATAGCAGTCGCGTTTTCTCATCCTGATTAGTGTGATCCCTCATCCCGAACCTTTTCACTTTAATTGACGAGAAGAAGGACAAACAGAGCAGAACAAATAAGAAAACTACAAAAAGTGCGTACAAGCAGCCCAATGAACTAACGAACCACGACCACTTTTCTCGCTAGCTGAACTGCAATGTGAGAGAAAGCCGCCACTACTGCCAGTTTCGCAACGTGGGATATTTTGCCCCTCGTACATCAAAGTAGGAACCCCGCCGTCGTGGTCTAGTGGCTAAAGTACTCGGCTGCTGTAGGCTAAAGTACTCGGCTGCCTAGTGGCCAAAGTACTCGGCTGCTGACCCACAGGTCGTGGGTTCGAATCCCGGCTGCTGCGGCTGCATTTCCGATGGAGGCGGAAATGGTGTAGGCCCGTGTGCTCAGATTTGGGCGCACGTTAAAAAACCCCAGGTGGTCAAAATTTCCGGAGCCCTCCACTACAGCGTCTCTCATAATCATATGGTGGCTTTGGGACGTTAAACCCCTCATATCTTCATAATCAAAGTAGGAAAAATGATGCATAGACTGAAACGAGTGGTGCAGGCCAGCTTTCTCAGCTAAAATACGTTCTCCTTGAGTATATTTTAAAGAAATGTCATTTACTTGTTGTTGTCGAGTTCCGAAGCTAAACTTCTACCATAACAAGTGTGGTCAGGCTCCTTCTCCAATGTGCGCTTTCTGTGGTGAGCTAGAAACTATAGATCGTTTCTTTTTGACCTGTAGGCGATTTGCCATAGCTCGAAGATCCAAGTTAGAAAGCCCTTTACAATGCCATTGGAGGGGGAGGAGGAGGAGGAGGGGGCTGGAAACTGTGGCACACACCCACGCTGGGCAATTGACCAAGAACCGGGTAGTTCTGACGAAATACTATTAATTTTTTTCCTCATGTTTTTTTAACTTGTGAGAGAATAAAGGCAAAATTAAATATCAGAAATGGACAGTTAGAAATAACGAATATAGAAAATGAAGCAGATGGTTTCAACAACAATAAATAAATGAACAAAGCAATTTGGAAAAAAAAGTAGTTCAGGATTAATAATATGTTTTACAGTCTGAATCTCTTTGAAGCTTTAATAAACTCCTTCAAGGCATCGGCAACTTTCCCGTCACTGAATCCTAGGGACAAAGCCCCCAAATAAAGTACAATTGGAGTGTTTAACTCCAATCTTACGAGACTGAAGACGGCATCTAATGTGATTTTGCGCAATGCAGCGTATTTTTTACAATATATCAGATAATGGTCTGTTGTCTCAGGAACTCCACGAAACCAACAATTGGGGGAAGCAGCCAGACCAGCTCTGTGTGAATAAAAATTGAGATAAGGAGTTTGACACTTCAGCCTAGTGATTGCGACTTCAACTGCACGCGTGTCACATACTTTACTGTTCCGACGGTGATTTAGGTGTTGAAATTCTAATGTGTTTATCTTGGCCGGCAAAGAAAATTCTTCTAACATCATTTTTCTCCTAAATCTTGCCCCTATTTAGATGCTGCTAATATGTGAATAACCGGGCCATTTAACGATGACTTAGCTAATGCATCCGCCATTTCATTGAGGAAAAGACCCTTATGCCTGGTACCCAAACCGATTTAACCAAATGTGTATACGATGAAACTAATGATTTGAAAGCACTCAGCACTTGAGAGTTCTCATTTGCAGTGAGAGAAGTCACCGACAGCGAATCAGTTAATACTATGGCCGAACTACAGGTTTTCCCGCTCAATTTAATCCAAGCGCCAGCCAAATTAATCTAGGCGCCAGTCAATTTAATCCAGCCGCCACTGAAATTAATCCAGGTGCCATTCATTTTAATCCAAGTGCCACTGAAATTAATCCAACCGCCAGCCGATTTAATCCGGACGCCAGCGAATTTAATCCTGATGACATTGTGACTTCAAAACGACCCAGAATTTTCGGGAATGCGTGGAGTGAATAGCTTTGGAGTGAATTTAACAGGGAAAAACCATGAATGAGTCACTCGTGACACAATGTGACTCGCGCGACATTATCTCGCCTATCACCCGCGTAAGCACTATTCACACCTTCGACATGCATATCAAAGGAAAAGCCGTCCACACAGTAATAACTTGATAATTATTAAACAGGCCAATGATCTCATCACGAGTGACTTAGGTGACGTCCTCACGCATATCACCCACGCACGCACTGTCTTAACCTTCCGTCATGCATATCAAATGAAACGTCTTTGAAAGGGCGGGATCTTGATACCTAAAACTCGGCCAAGTCACCTGATAACCAGTTCCTCAGGGGACGTCATCACAAATATCACCCGCGCACGTTATTTACTCGCCTGCCGACATGCATGCCAAACCAAACGTCTTTGAGAGAGCAATAACGCGGTACCTATGACTCGGCCAACTGACTTGATCACTTGTGATTTAGGTGACGTCATCACGCCTATCACCCACGCACGCAATGTCTAACCTGCCATCATGTATACCAAACGAAACGTCTTCGAGAGGCTAATAAATTGAACGCTGTCAATCGGCAGAGTGACGTGATCACTAGTGACTCGTGTGACGTCATCGCGTTTGACACCCACGCACGCAGCGTCTAACCTGAGTTCATACATATCAAATGAAACGTGTTTGAGAGAGTAATAACTTGAACGCTGTCACAAGGCCCAGTGACGTCATCACTAGTGACTGGCGTGACGTCATCTCGCCTAAGACTCACGCAAGCACTCTATAATGTGCCTTCATGCATATCAAACAAAACGTCTTTGAAAGGGTAATAACTTGAATGCTGGCACTAGGCCGAGTGACGTCATCACTAGTGAATCACGTGACGTCATTACGCCTGTCACACGCACACGCAGTGTCCAAACCTGTCTTCATGCATATCAAACGAAATGTCTTTGAGAGAGTAATAACTTGAACGCTGTCACAAGGCCCAGTGACGTCATCACTAGTGACTCGCGTGACGTCATCACGCCTGACACCCACGCACGCGGTGTCCTAACCTGTCTTCATGCATATCAAACGAAATGTCTTTGAGAGAGTAATAACTTGAACGCTGTCACAAGGCCCAGTGACGTCATCACTAGTGACTGGCGTGACGTCATCACGCCTATCCCACACGCACGCGGTGTCCAAACCTGTCTTCATGCATATCAAACGAAATGTCTTTGAGAGAGGTAATACTTAAACGCTGTCACAAGGCCCAGTGACGTCATCACTAGTGACTGGCGTGACGTCATCACGCCTATCCCACACGCACGCGGTGGCCAAACCTGTCTTCATGCATATCAAACGAATGTCTTTGAGAGAGTAATACTTGAACGCTGTCACAAGGCCCAGTGACGTCATCACTAGTGACTGGCGTGACGTCATCAAGCCTGACACCCACGCACGCGGTGTCCTAACCTGTCTTCATGCATATCAAAACGAAATGTCTTTGAGAGAGTAATAACTTGAACGCTGTCACAAGGCCCAGTGACGTCATCACTAGTGACTGGCGTGACGTCATCACGCCTATCCCGCACGCACGGCGGTGTCCAAACCTGTCTTCATGCATATCAACGAAATGTCTTTGAGAGAGTAATAACTTGAACGCTGTCACAAGGCCCAGTGACGTCATCACTAGTGACTGGCGTGACGTCATCACGCCTGACACCCACGCACGCGGTGTCCTAACCTTCGTCATGCATATCAAACGAATGTCTTTGAGAGAGTAATAACTTGAACGCTGTCACAAGGCCCAGTGACGTCATCACTAGGACTGGCGTGACGTCATCACGCCTGACACCCCACGCACGTGGTGTCCTAACCTGTTTTCATGCATATCAAACGAAACGTCTTTGAGAAAGTAATAAATTGAACGATGTCACTACGCCTAGTGACGTAATCACTAGTGACTCACGTGACGTCATCACGTCTATCACACACGCACGCGCTGTCCTAACCTGTTTTCATGCATATCGAACGAAACGTCTGTGAGAGAGCAATAATGTTATACTTATGACTCGGCCACCGACTTGATCACTATTGACTCACGTGACGTCATCACGACTAACAGTCATGCAAGCACTCTCTACGTGCTTTCATGAATATCAAACGAAACGTCATTGAGAGAACATTAACTTGAAGGCCGTTGCAGGCAGCGTCTGCTAGTAAAAAACTAACTTCTCGCGCTGCACAGCCGTTCACCAGCTAACCGGTATACGTAGGCACCAGATCGCGCGTTTCGAATTCAGTCAAAGGCGTCTTTACATGGCTTTTGTTTGACTTGACGCTTTTCTTGACTCGTGTAGATGCGATGGAAGCAACAGTACCTTCAAGCAGCAGTGTGGTACAACCCAACAACAGTGTCACATCGCTCGTTAAGGGCAGCGCTTCTCCTTCATTCAATAAATAGAAATAATGAAGTCGAAATGACAATTAAGCATTTTACAAACCCTACTCAATTACGCAACATTCAACCAATACCCTCACCTCCCTGCGACACGTTTACTCCAGCTCGTCGTGTGGGTAGATGTACGCGTCTTTTTTGTTGCTTCTCGTGTTTCGTAGAATGCCTTGAAAATGCGGGCAGCCAGGCCGCAATACTGTGAACGGACAGGCGTTCTACACTAAACAGGCACGCTTATTCCAAGCACACTAACCTAGAAGAAACGGCGTGGCGTAGAATGTAGAAAGGAAGGCA